CATCCATCCATCCAAGCATTGGTGTCATCATCTCTCATTCATCTATCATCGTTTCTTCCGCCCCTTTCGGCCCTTCCGCTTCCCCTCATGGCCCCCAGCAGGACCAGCCGACACGCCAACCCCAGCCCCAGCCGCACTCGCAGCCGCAGGCCCGCTCCTGGTGGCGGGCACAGCACCCTCCCGGCCGCTGTCCATGCCGCTGTCGATCTCCTGCCACGACTCGCTCTCCGACTGCTCGCTCAGCGGTGTGTTGGACGGCCGCGGGCTGGTGCCCTTGTCGCCGCCCTGAGCTGCGACGCCGTACGAAGGGGAGGTGCCACGTGGGCCGAATGACTGAGGTGGGGAGGAAGGCGGCTCCTCTGCAGACGGACGGGAAGGACGGGGGGGCTTGCCTAGAGGAGAGGAAGGAAACAAAGAGTCAGATTCATGAGCTTGTGGCTGGGCTGATGACCTTCTGACTGACATACCTGATTTGGGTGCTGCCCCTGGCCTCGATGGCGAGGACGCGAAGGCGCTGATGAGGGCACTGTCGAGCACGGAGTCGAGCTCCTTGACCGACAGGTCATCCGCCACGTCGCCCTCATTCACATCACCCTCAGTGTGGCACCGCTCAGAGAACGCCTCCTCAGTCGGCACCTCAGTCGACTCGGTCGTGGCGTCCGACGTCGACGTGAAGGACAGCGAGCTCTCGGGCACAGAGCTGCGTGACGACTGCAGGGGCCCCGCATCGCCCGCCAGCAGGTCGTCAGAGGACGCACCGGTCGACGATCGAGACCGCATCTCCCCCCGCCGCACCATTCGAGGACCTGTCGGCCGCACGGCTCCTGATGGAGGGCTGGAGGGGCCGCTCTCATCACCTGGCGGCGGCCCGCTGGTGGGCGACGGCACGTGCGGCATGTTGACCCGTGTGCCGCCAAAAGAGCTTTCCCATGACAGGGTGGGCGAGGCGGGGTGCACCGAGCCCTCTGGGTGGTGGGCACCGCTGCCGCCCTCCCCCCCTCCCTGTGTCTGTCTCGCCTGGTGGGCCGCCTGCTGCTGCGCAATGGTCTGCACGAGCGACCGGCGCTGTGGTGTGTCTGCTGCGGCGAGGGGTGAAGACGTGCTGCCGCCAGGCCGCGTCGAGGGGAAGACCGGTGTGAAGATGGGCATGCCCCGCCTGGGGGCGGCGGGAGGGGCCGCTGCTGCGTTGCTCGATGGCAGTTGGGCGCTCGGCGTCGTCTGTGCGCGTGGGAAGACCGGTGAGGGGGTGGGGAAGGTGCCTGGCTGACGCGCCTGGGGTGAGGTATACGACACAACGGTGGCCGGCCTGCTGTCCTCGCTCGTCGACGAAGCGCCGCTCGTGACACGCCCCAGCCCACCCAGACGCTGCGTAGCGAGACCGCCCGCACCCGACGGCTGGCTCGCCTGCGGCACCAGTGGCTGTGGGGACTTGTTGGACGAGCCCGACGACTCGTTGCCATTGCCATTGCCGTTGTCGCCTGACGCCGGTCTCGTAGTATCCGCCTTGTCCTTGCGCTTCGAGAAGAGCGACGCCGCCGACCCTAGCAGACCCCTCGCGAGACCAAACGACCCAGCAGATGTCGGCGAGGCAGACGACGAGGCCACGGAGCTCGACGGAGCCCCGTATTGCCCCTGCCCGCTCACTGGTGGGGCGACAGAGGGGGAGTTGGTGAACACCGGCGTGTCTGCCGTTGGGTTCGGGGGGTAGTTGGGCGAGTACGTGGTGGATGAGGGGACCGCTGTTGCGACCTTGGGGCGTGGCGCGGCGGATGGGGGGTGTGGTGGCGGCGACTTTGTGGGGATGGCGGTGAGCTGGGAGGGGGCTTCGGAGGGAGTGGGCTCGTCCTGCATGGATGGAGGTCGGCGGCTGCTGGCCGATGAGCCGGGGGCGGGCCGCTCGCGAAGGCGGGGGATGACGGGAGGCAGCGGAGGCAAGCCAGTGCGCTCACTGCAACCAGGGAATGACACACAGACAGAGAAGCAGACGCATTCACGACTTTCCACTCTCTCTCTGTGGGGAGGGGGGGGGGGGGTTGGTG